GAGGTTATGGCTATCGTTGGAGATGACATTCTTTCTTTCCGGGAGTTTCGTGCTTGTGCAACTCTTGCGTTCTATGGGGAGATGGACCCCATTGTTAGTAGGATGTGGTTAGCGGATATGGCTAACGCGTTCAGGATGAGTTTCTGCCCCGAGGAGGCGAAGGTCAGATATGCCTCCTGCCTATTGAAGGACAGGGCACAAGATTGGTGGGAAGAGGTTGGTAGCGAGATGGGTGATGATTCCTTTGATGTTTTGTCATGGGATGAATTCTCGACCAGGTTTCGAGCTGAGTTTGCACCGGTGATTCAGGTGCAACAGTTGGCACGAGAGTTTCTGGATCTCCGCCAGACTACTGAGACTGTGGCAGAGATTACTGCCAAGTTCTGGGAGAAGGGCTTTATTGGTTCCGCAGTATGCAACAGACGAGGAAATGAAGAAAGTGAGGTATCATGACATGCTGTAAGATGACATCAGGGAGTTTGTGAGTATTTTAGAGTGCCAGACCCTGAATGATATGATTTCTAGAGCCCCGAGAGCGGGAGATCGATTTGGAGCACTTTGGGAAGAGGGGGCCAGATTAGGTGCATATAGTGGAGGGCCCCGGGAAGAGACCCAAGACTTCTGATCAGCGTTTGAGGGACCAATAGGGACGAAGTTAGTGCAGCATGTGCAGGAAACTTCATGATGGAGTTTGTCGTTCCAGGGGTATGGGCTGCTACAAGTGTGGTAGGGTTGGTCACGTCAGCAGGGATTGTCCTCAGGGGCAAGCCCGTTATGATTTCACTACGACCAGGTGGGCCACAAGAAGGCCGGCTGTCCGATGTTGAGGGGAGGAGCAGTGAGTGTGCCTGCCTCGACTACTTTGAGGATCACCGATGGACGAGAGGGTAGTATGGGAGCCCCAGCAGGGAGAACCCAGGCATTGCAGTTTCAGACAGGGGAGGTCAGGACTCCAGCAGGCGACATTGCGGGTACGTTATCTTTTGCTTTCCTTTCGGTTTTATCAGTATTTATGTTGTTTGGAATCTTGAATTTTGGGTAAGCGTATATTTGGTTTATTTCTCTGCACATGTTTGGGTTATATCTTTAAGAAATGTTATATGCCATTTGCATGCCATTAATCATTAGTAGTGTAGTGAGGAGTTGCTTCTCATATAGCGGGTTCCAAAGTGTTCGGTTTTTATTCTGGTTTTTGGTCGAGACCGGTTCAGGGGCATTGTGTGAAAGGTCTATGGTCATGGTTCAGCTGTTTAGTTCTCTAGTATCGTCAGGATTAAGTGGTTTTAGCAATTGTGCTTGGTTGGCTCTTGGGAGTGCCAAGGGAAGTTGTCTTTTGCTGAGGTTTTGGTTTGAGCATCATTTCATAGGGATTTAAGATTGGGTGTTGTATCGATAAAAGCGGCTGGGGTTATCAGTTTGCTGGGATTTGGGAAGTGTTCATCCGATCTTCAGGAGTTGTGTGGTCTTTTGGGTTTGGCTAGTGATGGATCACTAGCATTGGTAAATGCAGGTTGACATCATATCGATCATTGGAGGGTAAGAAGAATTGGGAATCCTTCAAATCTTGTGTGTCGTTAGAGCTGAGTCAAGTCAAAGTAGGGGGAGAACCGTTCGGATCTCCGAGATCAGAATCACGTGTGAAACTAGGATGCATTTCACGTTCCCGTCAGGGAGGAAGACGACCCAAGTGGCTGTCTAGATTAAGGATTGTGCGAGTTGGGTGTTCGGGAAACTTCCCAACAGTTGGTAAGCACTTTCTTGGTGATGGTTAGCAGACTTTTGATGGACCTAGGTTTGGGATCCCAGTCATGAGCCGAGCTCGCTTGGGTATTTGTTCGAGTGCATGCTCGACTTTGGATGTGTTCAGATTGATAGATTAGCGGTAAGACATTGGGCGGCGGTTGTAGTAGAGTGGAAGTGTTGTAAGACTACAGAGTGGCCCATAGCATTCACTAGTTGGAAGATAGTGGAAGTGTTGTAAGACTGCGGGGTGGACGATAGCATTCACTAGTTGGCAGATTGTGTGGAAGTGTTGTAAGACTGCGGGGTGGCCCGTAACATTCACCGGTCTCTGTGCAGTGGTGAGGGAGTGGAAAATCCTTGATTGGTCATGGATTTCTTCAGGTGGTTTAGACAAGGGTGGGTCGATTCGTAAGGTTGTGGGAGGGCCACAGCATGTCGGAAGCAGGAATTGGTAGGTCGTTGGAGACCGGGTATGATATGAGACTACAGTTGGTAAGGTAGTATTCTTTTAGTATTGGATTTGATGGCGGGATGGCTTGGGCAATAATTGCCAGATAAGGTTTCTCTCGGAGTCGCGTGGAGCGACTGTGTATGTGTGTCTTTCGACTCAGCAACCGGACGGGAGCCCGGTGTTTCAGGTAGTTGTCAGAAAAGTTGGGACCAGGGAGGTTCCCGCTGCTTTTGGAAAGCAGCTAGGGGGCGGCAAGATGAGTCAGATTGGTGTCGGTGATTTGGGATTCGGGTGTGGGGTCGTTTTTTATTCGGGGTATATGCTTAGTCGCTTGCAGTGGATTAAATAATCTCAGAGTAGTTAATTTGACTCTTTTGCGCAGCTCTCGTCTGAGTCTAAATGTTGCAGGGATGAATCTTCTACTCGAAGGATTATCTGAGCCTCCTGCAAGTACAAGTGTTCTGCAACTGTTTTTGGTCACTGATTTTTTTCCCTTTGGAATGCACCAATTGTCAGGATTGGAAGTGTTTTGTTTGTTCTGGTATTCTATGAGGATTCGGTATGGTAATGATTCAGTATGGGTGGTCTGTCAGGGAGTCAGACCAATTTGATAATATGAGATTTCAGATTTCAGGTTTCAGGTAAGGTAAGGCTGATTGTCTGCATGGGATTATGGATTCGTCTGCTTCGGGTTTGGAGAGTTCTGATTTAGTTGGGTTCGGTAACCTTGGGAAGGCCGTTGTGTGATTGGAATTGTGGTTGTATTGTTCAGGCTGTCTGGCGTGCCTGGCAATGGTAAGGAATGATTTCGAGGACGAAATCTAACTTAAGTGGGGGAGAATTGTAACACTTGATATCCGATATGAAGCTGATTCCAAGTTGTTATGTTGTCTCTTTGGGACACGACGTGGTGGAGCCTCAACACGACCTGTCTAGATGTTTTGGCCGTGGAATTTAATGAACCAACACGGCGTGTTAAGGTGCCTCAACACGACGTGTTGGCACCAGGGAAGGAAACCTTAATTTTTAGGGTGTTGCACCCTATTTAAAGACCTTAAGTTCCCTTGATCGGCCTCCTTACCATCCTTATTTGTTACCTAAAACATTAAATCGAGTTTTGAGCTTTCTTGGTGGTGTTCTTGAAGTTTTGAGTGGATTCTTGTGGATTTTTGTGCTCATTTGAAGGTTCTTTGGAGTTTGAAGGTGCCTAGCTTGGAAGGAAGGCCATAGATCCAGAATCTCACCACTTGTTGAAGTCTCCTTGAGGTATCAAGTTCATACCTTGCTTTGTTGTTGATTAGATCTTCTGTTATGGGGTTTTGTTATGATTTTGGCCTCCATTTTGGATCTTTGGATGAGTTGGGTTGTTTAAGGGATTGTTCCTTCAGATATGGGTTGTTTTGGTATCCTTGAGCATAAAGGTGCAAGCTTTACATGAAGAATGGTGTCATGCATGCTTCAAGTCCTCTATTAAGTCCCTTTTTAGCTTAAGAGCTTCATTTAGTCATTTATGGACGTAAAGTTGGCAACTTTACATGATAACCCAACTCAAGGAGCCCAGATCTATGTTTTGGGGCTATGTCCTTAAGGAGTAAGTGCTTATTGGTTGAGTTGTTGAATCTCGAGTAAACATGGTGTGTTTGCAAGCCAACACGACTTGTTGGCTAGGGATTTCCTGATTATCTGGATTTTGGAAGAACACGACGTGTCCAAAGGGCAACATGGCGTGTTGGGTCAACATGGGTTGTTGACCTTGACTTTGACTTTTGCAGTTGACCAGGGTTGACCATTGGAAATTTTGGATGTGGGCCTTATTGGGCCTTGTGGTGTCATTACGGGTTTGGAATATCGTGTGGGATTGTATTGCTTGGGGTTTTGATGGACCAGCTGAGAATTTGTGTTTGTATTAGGAAAGGTTAATGGACTTTAGGGTAAGGCCCATGAAAGGATTTGGGCACAATTTGAAAATTGGGCCATTATTCGGCTTTAGATGATTATTGGTTGAAGGAATTTATGATTGTTAGTTTGGGCCTTAGTCTTGGACCAAACTAGGTGAGGGGTAAAATGGTCCTTTTACCCTATGTATGGCTTATTGGATTTGGTTTGGAACTCAATTGTTAATTGGGTATTATTTGTTTGATAGTGCGGGGATTTTAGCGGATCAGCAGTCAGAGCTCTATCTGTGGGTTCATCTGTCGAGGTGAGTCTCCTCACTGTTCTATGGGTCGAAGGCACCAATGCCGGCCCATTTGGTTTATGTATTATAGGAAGACCTGAGGGTCACCCTTGGAATTTTGTATGAAAGACCAGGAGGTGGCTCCTGGCAATCGATATTCATGACCAGAGTCTGAACTCTGGCAGTTAGTAGTTAAGTAGTTGTAGATTGTATGCTAGTTGTCTTTGTGATGCTTGCATGGAAGACCAGGAGGTGGCTCCTGGCACTTGTCTGTAAGACCCAAGTTTTTGGCCCCCGACCTGGAAAAGAAGACCACGAGGCGGCTCGTGGCATAATGGCAAGACTGTGGTTGGCACATATCACTTTTATTGATTGATTGGATATGTATGATATGTATGGATCGTTCGATATGTATGGTATGTGGTATTTGGGGAACTCACTAAGCTTTGTGCTTACAGTTTGTGGTTTATGGTTTCAGGTACTTCCGTTTTGGAAGGGAAGGGCTCGGCTTGATCGTAGCGCATACACCCGTATTTTCCGCAATATGTGTTGGGAATGAACTCTGATAATTGTTTTATTTGAAATGCTTTTAAATGTTTGGATGAAAGTTACATTAATGAATTTTTTATTCTATGAGTTTAAGGATGTTACACCGTCGTGGGTGCGATCGTTACCATTGGCATTATGGATGTGGGCCTTACGGGCGTTACTATGGGCATTGTTCTGGGTGTGGGCATTACAATCGGTATCGTGGAGATCATGATAGGTGTGGAAAGTTACTTGTGGAAAGACATTGGATATGACATTGGATATGAAGTCAGAGCTATATGTCGAGTCCATCACACTGGTTTCATAAGTGATATTCCAAGATGGATGAAAAATGGCAGTAGGTTCAGCCATACAGGATGTTTGAGGTGTCCACGACACAAAATTAGATCCTGAACCATCACCCAGAATAACATGTGATCTTGTTGTACCAAAGGTGGTACCTCTTTGAACGGAGGGAACCTCCATGGCAACTCCTTGCATGGCATTCATAAAAGCTACTCTAGTATTACTACCAAAACCTTGACGATGCTCTAAATCTATGATGTTGGTAGTGGACACCAATTGAGCATAGTCTTTTCTCTTCTTCCTGGATGGTGTATTAGCAAATTGGGCAAAGCCTGACATAAAAGTGGTCGGTCTTATAGGGCTAACAGATTGACATGCATCATCATTTTCACTTTGGTCATCGACATCGTCTACATTAACATCCAATTTTGTTCTTGTTGTCTTCATCACAGGCTCTTCCCTCCCCCCCCCCCCCCATTACCCCGGTAGAAATTTGGGGATACAACATCTGCCTCTAGTTCACATTCCTTCGGGTAATCACGCAGAAGAGCCCTTAACATATTCAAATATACTTTTTTTCAAAACAACAAGAAAATATAATATGAAAATGACACTTTAAATTATGGGTAATAGTTGTCAAAAAAAATGATAGTCACTTACCATTAATCCTCACGAATAGCATGGGGACCATGAGTTTGTTGTGTCAATCCCACACAACCCTTTTTCCACTAGCAGCAAGAACATGTTCGTCAATCACATCTCCTGGTACAAAATACCCTTCTATTTTGCTTAAGTCCTTACAAAGTTGAGGGTTGATAATTTTTATGGTCGGGTCATTGACCATCCTTGATGTGTCACCAAAGATCATCCCTTCGGGTACGAGGTTTTGGCTCACCCAAAAGAACTCTTGTTTCCATTTTCTAGATGTTATTTTTGGCTGCAATTTGTCTCTCTTTATCGTGGTTGTAGAAAATATATCAATCTTCACTAGAAGATAACCTGTACAAAATACGAAATAAGGGAACACAAGGCCCAACCTTTTTTGCCTTACACATGAGTTCAAATGCCACGATTTTGAACATTGAATTTGGCTTTAGTTGGCTTATGTGTATAAAATAGTGAGAGAATAAATCCTCAAGAAACTTGGAGATTGGGAAGCGAAGGCCTGCCTCCATAGTTTTGACATAAATGCCCACTTTATCGGGAGGTGGATCCTTCATATGCTGAGTAGGACGAGGTAGAAAAACTCCATCCAATGGACACAATCCATATTGGCTAGCTACCCTTTCTAAACTCGCTTGCGAAAGAGTTGAGAATAGGTCTTCTATACCCAGTTCACGAGCCATCTTCTCATTACTCATGTTTTGCTAGATATTTGGTAAGTGTGGTATGTGATTGTTAATTCAGGCACTTTTTATAGATGTTATATATGTGTTGTATGTGATTCTCTGTAGTTGCATGCAAAGATTCCTTCTCCCACTTGACGCATCGACCTATGCATGCCACTTTTTCCAATGACAATATTGTCTATATTATTGATAGTGACACATGCATGCAAATATTCATTCTCCTAATTGACATCGACCTATGCATGCCACTTCTTCCAATTGACATTGACCTATGCATGTCAAGATTATTTTAATACATATACCTCTTGGCTTTATATGGCACACTTAACTAAGTTATATTTATAATGGGCTTCTTGTTGAAATTAAACATACACAGTTTGTTTTTTCTCAAATACGTATGGATGTTGGAGTGAAAATGCGGGCATATTATTAAGTATGAACTGAAATGTGTACTACCCATATCACTTCATACTGGGGGGGGGGGGGATGAAAACGGGCATAGGGTGGAGTCTGGTAGATAGAAATGACGAACATAAGTGACGAACAGAAGTGAAAGACAGAAATGACACATAGAAATGAGAGGCAGAAATGACAGATAGAAATACATGGCCCAAAGTGCAGGACCAAAATGCATGACCAAAAATGCATAGCGTCCCAAAATGCATAGCCCTCACTGTAATATTCAGAGCTTGTAACTTTCCTTTTAACCCTTGCTTAATAGAATAATTTCATTTTTGGTCCGCTGGCTAGTACGCGGGGCGTACTCTATGAGTACGCTTAGCGTACTAGCTTGATCATGATCGTGGGTATCGACCAAATACGCTGGGCATACGTTGGTTACGCAGGGCGTACACTGGCTTGGGATAAACCCGAATGTTTAGGGTTTGTGCCCAATTTAAGCTTCTTTAACCCACCCTTGGACATTTTAGACCAGCCTCCATATCCTCAAAGCCCTAATTTCGTCCCTTAGCCTTTGTGTGGTGCTTTTAAGCTCTTGTGAAGAACTTTGGAGTGTTTTGTGCAGTGTTCTAAAAGGCGCGCCATGGAGCGCGTCAAGGCGTGCCATGACGTGAGGCATGGCTTCGCCATTACGAAAAGCTTCATAACATTGTTGTTATCCATGGCGCGTGGCAAGGCGTGATATGGCATTCCATGGCGCGTTATGGCATGTTATGGCGCATGTTTTTTTCATTTGAGACACGTTTTTTTGCTCTTTGTTATTTCTTTTCTAATCGGGGATACAAGTATTGTGTTTTTTGTTAAATTTTTGTTATTAGTTATTGATATAACACTTCTAAAAAGTAGTTATATTTAATATAAATTTATATTTATGTGGTAATATAATAAATTAATACAAAATTGCCGCCTTACATCACGCCTTGAAAAACTCCATGGCTCATTAAGCTTGAGGCTTGGCCTTGCCGCCACGCCACGCCTCACGCCATTTAAAACCTTGGTTTTGTGCATCTTGAAGTGGTAGAAGAAGATTGAAGACTCGTTATTCGAAGAAGAGCTTAGAGATCCAGATTTAGCTTCTTCATTTCATGACTTTTGAGGTATAAAGTCCATAACTGGTCAACTCCTTGTATATATCTTCTTTTGGGATTGTTTATGGCTATTTTGGTCCATTTTGGTTGGTCCTTGTGAACTAAGGTCGTTTCAGAAGCTTATCCTTTTAGATCTGGACATTTTAGGAGTCCCTTAAGCATAAAAATGCAAACTTTAAGGTGGATATGGATTCATGCATGTGTTAAGACTATTTATTAAGCTCTTTTGTGCTCTAGAGCCCCATTAAGCCATGAATGCACGTAAAGTTTCCAACTTTACGTGATAAATCATCTTTTGAGACAAGATCTGAGAGTATGGAGTAGGGGCTGAACAGATTAAGTACTTAATGATGTGCGTTGGCCAACTAGCGAGTATGTTAGGTGTACAAGCTGGTACATTGTGCGTACGAGCCCCAGAGCATGTACGCTAAGCGTACGAGCTAAGTACACCCAACGTACTTAGTAGGCGGGCTTCGGTTTTGGGCTTTTCGGTATTGGGCCCATATTGGACCTTAGGAGTCTAGGGCTTTGTTGGGCCATCAAAATTCTATTTTTGGGTTGATGCTATTTTATTGGACTCTTTTGGTTGAAGGACCATGAAGGGATTTGGGCCTAATTTGGAAGATTAGGTCATACTTGGGCTTTGGGTGATCATTTTGGAATTTGGGCCTTTTGGATAGTTGGCTTAGTTGGCCTTGGGCCAAGTTAGGTAAAGGGTAAAAAGACCTTTTACCCTAGTTTGGAATCTTAGTTTGAGTCGGGATCCAATTATTAATTGGATGTTATTTTATGTAGATAGCGCGGGGATTTTAGCGGACCAGCATCCAAAGATTTATATGTGAGATTCAGCAGTCTGTGGTGAGTTTCCTCACTGGATTTAGCGGGTCGAATACACCAATGTCAGCCCATGATTATTATGTTAGGATGTTAGATGTCTGTGTGAATCTTGCATGTGTTATGTGCTGGTATGCATAACCGAGTGGGGCTCGATGTCGGGCGAGGCCCGATGATTGTATTGTATGATATTGCCTTTGTGATTATCGCATGTGTTAGCATGATTATATGTTTATATGTGTACCGAGTGGGGCCCGATGTCAGGCAGGGCCTAATGAATGACATATCTGTAATCCGAGCGGGGCTCGATGCAGGGTGGGGCCCGAGGTCGAATGGAACTCGATCTGGGCGAGGCCGGATGTAGGGTGGGGCCCAGTATGTGTTTATTATGTATGGTATGTGTAACGCCCGGGTTTCGGGGCTAAGCATTTTTTAGACGATGTAATAGTCTAGGTCAACTATTGTAACTCTTTTGATGTAATAAAAATGAAATATTTGAGTATTTTGTGAATTTATGTGCTTATTATTTAATTATAAATGTATAATTAATAAAGAATAAAAATAAGCGTCAAAATTAAAATATGAGATAAGCCCGATATCTTTACATAAAGTTGTAGTGGTCAAAACAACGATTCCGGAGATATAAAGAACGCCGAAATCCGAGTTATAACGAAGAAGTTATGACCCGACGAAGTTTCACGACGGAACCGGCACGATACCGGGAAGCGTGAATAGTGAATTTATGATAAAGCGAGTTTTTAGCCGACACGACCTAAACGAGAATCGAAGAGCTCTTTAATTGTGGCGTAACAATAAAAAGACAGACGAAAACGGACGTCGGATGAAGAAGTTATGAATTTTTAACGGACCAATCCTGTCCCGGCCTGTTAAAAATAACTTTTAAAATAAATTCAAAATTAGCCAACGGAGTCTAAACGAAAGTTGTAGATTACGTTCCCGCCTTCGCGTGGATATAAATAACGTCAAAAACGGAGCTCGTATGCGAGAGTTATGATTTTTCTAAGACGGGAGGCCGATACGCGATATTGGGTGACGTGGCACCACCAGAAATTGGACACATGGCACCACCAGAAATTGGACATGTGACACCACCAGAATTTGGACAAGTGGCACCACCAGAAGGCCACCACATGCCCCAACTCACTATAAATAGAAGTGTCGGGTTCTCTCATTTCTTACACCTTTCCTCTTCCACTTTCCCTCTCTAAACTCTCTCTCTAAGCTCCCTTGAGCCCCTAAAAGTCTAGGTAAACCCCTAGCACCCGAAGGAAGTTCCGAGGCCCCCAGAGTCCCGAGAAAAGAACCTTTCGGCTCGGAAACGCTGCTCCAGCGAAGCCCGGTTTTGAGAAAAACCCGCTGTAAGTAAGGTACGCCTACGAAATTTTTAATATAACTTTTAAATAATTATAGTAATGTTATTAGGTCCTTAAAATAATTATTTGGGCTATTATTATTTATATATTGAGTGTTATTTAACGCTTATATAATAATAATAATAGCTAGACTATTAATTAGTCACGGTTAACGTTAAAACTAAACTCTAGTGGTATTAATACTAGGTTTTGGTCAAGGAAAAATTGTTTTGAGATAACGAAGTGCTGTTCAAATACCGAGTCACCACCTAATCAGGTGAGTGCATAGTTACTTTCATCTTACACATAGATATGAAGTATTTTATATTAATTACGTGCTATGTGTGCATATTATCTGAATACTTGCTGCCTATGCTGATGAAAGATTTTTATACATGTTTTAAATAATTTAAACTGTATATGTATTTTATATCTACAAAAATGTTGGGGTAAAACATGGGTAGATGTAATAAGACAATGTGTGATAAAATGATGAGAGGCCTCGATGTTGTTGTTATTGATTCTGTCATCTAGCGGAGTATGGATGACGACCACGGACTCTTCTAGACAGTCCAGTGGAACGCTAGCAGGCTCGCAACCTGTAGGTGTTTGTGAACGATGTGTTCACCGGTGTACTCCATCCCCCTCATGGTTGCCTTTAGGACATTTATTGCTGAGGAACCCCCTTGGCAGTAGTGTCCATCCCGATATTGATCCTTAGTCTAGGTCCCTTATGATAGGTGTTTTAGGGACGTAATGTGAGGATAACGGGAACGGGTAATCGGGTTATTGTTGATTGATGAAATTAATAAACTTATTTATTGTGGGTTGAAAACCCTATGTGCTCACCAGGCTCCCAAGCCTGACCCACTCAGTTTCTTGTATTACAGGTAGTGGCGCACGAGCATAGATATGATGTTTGGGATGAGAGATTACGGATATAGGCATGTAGATATGAATAAATGTAGTAAGGCTTATATTGTACTGTTTATGCTTTTGATCTGTATCGAACATGACATCCCGAGGTTTTTAATGAAATACATTTCTACGGAAATGCTTTGATAAATCTTTATCATATTTTATTTTGGGAACAAATTCCGCAACACTTTTATTTAAATGTTACTCTGATTTTTAAACAAAGCATAAACAAAATCGGTCTTTTCTGGCCGTGAAAATGGGGATGTCACAGTTGGTATCAGAGCATTAGTTTAAGCGAACTAGGAATTTGTAGGATTTCTAGACTTAAACTTAGAATGCT